AACCGTGTGAAAGATCGCTTTGCACATCACAATGTAAACTCGATCTATCATTCGATTCACAGAAAATGTATTCGATTCATGAATATGGAGCTATTTATACATCGGGTTTAACTGTATTTCGTCAGGCTGAAAATACTGGTTATAAATATATGAAAGAACCATTACATAATGTTTGTTCATTGGCAATGGCTGCTTATCGAGAACCAGATCTAGAAGAAAAAACAGGCAAAAAAATATCAACGCCGAAATTTGCTGTTGGAATACGAAAAAAAATTGAAAATATGTTTTCAATTGCTCATCATCATGAACACGATTGTCTTGTTCTATCAGCTTTAGGTTGTGGCGCATTCAGAAATCCTCCAGATCACGTTGCAAAATTCATTTTTGCATTCGTTCAGTTATTGAACATTATGGCTTTTTTGAATTAATTATATTTGCCATTATCGATGATCATAATACAGGAAATAATTTAAATCCACAAGGTAATTTTACTCCATTTCAACGTGAATTACATGGGTTAATTGTGAAACCGATGTTGTCATTAAAACAACCAATACTAATTTCGGTCCTTATCGTTTATCATCAGATGGTTCATCAGTGAAAGATATCTGTATTTATGATTTACCACCATGTCATTTTGCTGCTAAATGCCAAGATATGTACGATCCTAACCATATTCAGCAATTTTCTCATCCACCTTTCTGTGTACAAGGTTTGAATCATACATGTACACAAAACGATGATATGGTTCATATGTCTTCATTTATTCATCGACATCCATGTAAAGACGGTGCCAAATGTAAAGAAATCGATGATCAAAGACATGCACAAACAAATGAACATCCGTCTTATTGTCCAAAAGGTGGTAGTTGTCAAAATACAACAGATGATCATGAAAAAGCTTATCAACATTTACCAGAATGTGAGCAATCCCATAGATGCAGCAAATTTATAGCACGAAAAAAAGATCATTGTACTTCTTTTCGTCATTGTAAACCACGTTGTCCACATGGTAGCTATTGTGTTCATTTTCTTAACAGAACACATATCGAAGACTATACACATCCATTTCGACAGCCATGTCCGCTTACTCCTTATAATTGTGCAGTATATAACCGATTTGAAATGGTAAAAGATCCCGGACAACTTTCATTCGAAGATCATCAACATTGTTTTCGTTTTGCTTATGCATGTCGATTTGGACGAAATTGTACAAAGGACGATCTAGATCATCAAGAAAACTTCATTCATATACCTCGTCTTCTTTGTCAATATGGTAGTCAATGTAAAAAAATTGCCCAAGAAGATCATATAAATTCTTTTACACATCTAAATATTCGTGATGTTCGACTCTTATGTAAACATGATGATGCATGTCGTGATCGTCAAGATCGCAATCATTTTGCTCGATATCGGCATCCAATGAAATTCGGAGACAGTGGCGTCGTTCGCTATTGTAATTTGAATGGGAACATCGATTTTGTTCAAAAAATAGTGCATCCCGAATTAACAATTATGCTCGAAATCGGACATCATTACCATCAGGTTCAATTTCAGACGAAATTCTTGATTGGATACGTGTTATTCAACCTGTTCATCGATGCAGTCTTGAAATATTCGAATCAATCCTACTTCATGGTCATGTTATGAGTCGAGAATATATGAAGCATTTAAAAAAACCCAAATGCGTAGCAAATTCTGTTCTTGAACATAATAAAATCCGACAAATACCAGGTTTAAAAAGAATATTCGATCATGTTAAAAATTACGTGACTGCTTTGGTCACTCAACATTATATAAACAATAAATTTCTCGACTGTGACACTACGAACGGAATGTTCACTCAAACATCACCCAATAATAATATATCAGAACCTCCATCAGACGTAATTGATGCGGAAAGAACATTTCTTGGATATAATCTTGCATCTCTTAACGTGGATATGATTCGTGAAAACACCATTGAAATAGCTGAAGCTTCACTGAAACTTTCCCGAACTCTTGCTGGCATTAGTTATGAACAAGATAAACGCGACATACTTCATCATCCAGATGCAAACTTTACTACACAAGCTGCAACATCATTCGCCAGCAGAAAAATTTACGAATCTCATCCATGGTTAGGACCTGATCCAAATACGGAAAAAGATCGAATTAATTTATTTCATAAATCGAAATTACATGCTTCAATACCAGGTTATGAATATACAACTGCGCTTGAATTAATCGCTACGACCAGTCATTACTTTAAAAAAGAGAATATGGGTTTGAAAGTTAGTCTTGAAAAGATTCTCAAACGTTGGCGCAAAGCTGACTCGCATTGTTATGGAAACACATTTACCTCAACTTATCCCATTAGATTATATTGAGCATATTTACATGACAGAGGACATTCACACATCGCTTAGTACAAATGCTCGTAACACTATTGACAAGTTTTTCAAAAATTGTATCACGATAGAAAATAAAAATGATGATGAATATAGTAAATTTGTTATTGACAAATTGGTGGAAAAATTTAGTCATAGTGCACTTGATTCAATTTCAAGACCTATTCAGGGTATTGTTATGACAATCGAATCAACTAATCTTAAAAATCATTACCTCTTGCCTTTGACAATTTCACAAGCATATGCACAATACCAAATTAAACATCCAAAAGCATCAGTTAATTGTAAAATTTATATCTATTGGCAAGTAATGAATGGTGATATGATGTTAACATTGTCGAATAAACAAATTGATCCAAACAAGGTACAAAACGAACTGAAATGTTTAATTTGTTATATTGCTCCAAAACCCATATTAAATGATTCAACGTATCACGAACAAACATCATATTTAAATAGTGCTCATCCATTTCAACATCAAAAATTTATTGATAGGAAAACATATGCAGCTAAATCAACAACATTTTATGTCGAATGTAATACTGATGATTTAATGACGTTTTGCCTTGAAATTGATCGTTCGAATGGAATGGTCACTCTTTCACATGCCGGTCCTAATTCAATATACAATCATGAAAAAATTTCTTGTGAATTTTCGAAAAACGTTAATTTAGCTGATTTAGAATATATTCATGTCAGTGCTGGTGCTCAAGCATTACCAATACGAAATCTGATCGTCTGTTTCGAGAAGCAATATGATTTACATGCAACATTTGATGAAAAATTTGCAAAAGCTACTACAGTCTCAACTAATAAACCAGCCAATGATGGACAAGTTTTAACAGTTAATACAAGCAATAATGCATCATCATCCGCTACAACCGATAATCAAACACCAAAATCACTGAGCCTTTATACTCGCGTTAAAAATACTGCAGAAGCATTTCTTTTTGGTGATCCTAACTCAAAATTCAAACCATGTCCTGATGGCATTTACTATCTTACACAATTTTCTGAAAATGGACCTAATCACAATGAAAAATATTCACATCCATGTCGATTTGCTCATCAATGTCGAGAACCAGAAGAAAATTTAACACATGAACCTCATCAAGTACCCGACTGTCCATCGGATAGAAATTGCAAGCATTTAATTAATCCTATTCATCGATCTCAATTTCATCATACAGGTTGGCCGTATTTTCTTATACCATGTAACAATCAATGTAAATGTAAAAACAAATCAAAAAATCATCTGATCAAATACTCGCATGGTGAAAGAGTTAACGAACCAAAACGAATAGAAGAATCGCAAGGTAAATAAGAATTTTTAAAAATCAATATATATATATATATATATATATATTTATATCATTTCTCTTTTAGCTGCTTCAACTGATCAACCATCACAGAATGATCAAAATTTTCCGAAAGCAAATATAGATAGTAAACAACAAACACAATGTAAATGGGGTGCACAATGCAGAGATATTTCTAAGCCCGATCATTGTAAACAATTTTCTCATTCAACTGTTACTCAACAGAACGATAACAACAGTAAACAACAAACACAATGTAAATGGGGTACACAATGCAGGGATATTACTAAGCCTGATCATTGCAAACAATTTTCTCATCCAACTATTACTCAACAGGCTTCAGTGCGTTTCAGTGCGTTTTGTACCTTGTTTGGATCAATTTGTTTATTCGACAATGTTAACATCCTATCACCGATACGACACATCTACTATCAGAAATAGAAAAAATAAACAAACAAATAATTAATCAAAATTTAAATGTAAATCAACTATTTCTAATTACAGGCGATATTACATCACTTTATACGAACATTCCTCAAAACGATGGTATAAATACATTATCAAATTTCATCACAAACTATGGGTTTTTATTAGACCTTCCATTGACAACAATGACATTTTCATTGCTATTAAATCTGATTCTGAAAAATAACTTTTTCAATTTTAAAGGCCATTACTTTAAACAAATTAAAGGTACTGCTATGGGCACTGCGTGTGCACCACCATATCCGAACATATGTCTTTTGTAAAGAAATATTTACATTGGATGAATTCATCAAGAAACATCACTTTTTCCTTTTCTCTTCCGCTTTCTCCTTCCTTTTCTTTTCTTTTTTCTTTATAGGTTTTATCAATATCATATTATTATTGAGGCGGTGAATAGCATGGATAAAGACTTTTTTACTATTGCAGCTCGAGAGTTGAATGGCGTGTTGAGAAGGGATGCAAGTTTCTCAACTATGTAAATATCAAAAATGCGTGACGTTTTAAAAGTAGAGTATGTGTCTACGCAAGCTTTTCCTAAACGACTCAAGTTCCCTACGCGGCTTGACGAAGTCGTATTTATGCGTATTAAATCAAATTTACCGCCAGTAAGCTATTATCTTCATCGACATAAATGTGTGAGAGGTGAGGGTGAGGATTCACAATAGATCGTTCCACTCTCCAGCTGCAATAGTAAACAAGTCTTTATCCACGCTATTTACCGCCTCAATAATACCGTTCGTAATGGGCTCGAAAGATGTTTTTGGGTGTATGGACCACGATTCCGCAGAGAAACGGCGGCCAAAGGTAATTTTTTCATACAATGTCCTTAGCTATGTTTTTCACTTACTTTCTTGTCAATCTGCTGTCTGCTTGAGAAAGAAATTCACGAAAATCGATGTCATATATGTGTATCTTACAATTACAGAAACTCTCTCTGAAAATAATTTGAATTGGATTTTCGCTTTGCTTTGAGTTAAAAATATATTAACGCTTGTTCAAACGTCTGTTATATTTATCAATAAGTTTGTTTTTCTGATTTTTTATTTCTTACGTACTATATCCCGATATTATCACAAATCCAAATTTTTCTATGAATGCTCACAGAAAACCATGCGTTCTGTTGTTTCAGCACTATTAATCTTCGAATCCTTTTCCTAACCTTCTCTACGCAGCAGACCGCTCTCAAAAGACCGTTGATCGGAAACTTGATTTTCATTATTTTCTCACCGATCAAAAAGGTTTCGAGGCAAGAAAACCTCATATTCAGACTTGCTACTTTCGAACATCATCATAACACGCCTGATAGAGAAACTCGATTTCCACTGGTTCCTGATAGACCAATGGGATCCCGAGGCAGGTGAACCTCAGATTCGAACTCTCCATGGTCGATTACCCAAGCCCATGTGTCCTGCGGACTATGCGTTTTGTCAGGAATCGAAGCTCTTATCTAATTGGCTAGGAGAAACAGAAAAACTTCAAGCATTTTTTAGACGCCGTAAAACCCTTACTTTAAGTGAAGGGAAAAAAAAGAAAACTAACACGAAATAAAACTGCTGTCTGTTGCTATGCCATGGCAGGGTAAACATCTCCTCTCTTCTTTCCTTGCTTACTTCCAAGCAACTTTCCAATTCTCAATTTTAACATGCGCCATTGGTATTTGGCATGCACACTTGTAGGCACACTAAAGACTTGGTCCAGTTCTTCCAGAGTACGACCTTTAGTTTCAGGCAATACGAAGAAAATCATTACCCATCCGATGAGACACCATGCAGCGTACCATGAGAATGCACCTTGAGGCTTGAAAGTTACTAACATCGAAGGCCAACAAACTGACAAAAGGAAAGAGAATCCCCAGGTTATCGCTACGGCTGCACTCATACCAAAATCACGAATATAGAGTGGGAAGGCTTCGGCGGCGTATGTAAATGGAACAGGACCTTCACCAGGAGAGTAGACAATTATGAAAAGGTAGATGCCGAGTGCAATGAGACCGAGGCGAACATCCTGAGATTCAATCCAAAAGCAGAAACCGGTAAAAAAGAGGGAGATTGACATGATGGGAAACGTCCAGAGAAGAAGTGGACGGCGACCCCACGTGTCGATGATCTTGATAGCGGGAAGAGCAAAAAGAAAGTTGAGGATACCAGCACCGAGAGAAGCGAGGATGGCCGTATTGGGTGAAACACCGGCGCTGACGAAAATTACAGAAGAGTAGTACATGATAGTAATTATATTGACTTTTTTTATGTTTGTTGTACGACATCTTATGTTTTTTCGCTCATTTTTTGTAAAAGAACATGTCACATTATGAAATAATAGGTCTGTTTATCACTTCTTTGTTTACTAAGTATCAATTTATATTCCTTAGGAAAAAAAATTATTTTTGTTTTCTAAATCGAGAAAACAAAGTGTGTAAAAACATTTTATTTTAGAAACACTATCCTCGGATAACTATTCAGTCGCTTAGTTATTATCCAACATAGCTATTTCCTCAAGTCTTGACTATTCTTCAGTAATGCACAAGGTAGAAGAACATCCTCGTAAACCAGCAAATTCATACATTTCAATCGTCATTAAATTATTTTAAGAGACACTTGTACAGTTAATTCCAACCTATTTACTCTATTTCATAAACTAAACTGCAAACATGTCTACTTCCAAAGATGATAACAAGAATAGAAAAGAGTTAACTCTTAAAAGCACAGGTCAGGCATCTCCGACGACTATTAGTAACAATGGTTCCAAAATAGAAGATGTTGATGAAGGACGATCTAATGATGTTGTTAACATTCAAAACATTGACGAAAACCTTATGAGAGAATTTACTCGTGAAGAGGCTATGAACGACGCCGAAGCCTTCCCACTCTATATTCGTGATTTTGGTATGAGTGCAGCCGTAGCG